TTTAGCAAATTCGAAGAATTCATGCTGATGCAAGTAGATTAGTTTTTAAATAAAAAAAGAAATTAGACATAATATTAGATATAATGTATCAAGTTATAAAATTTTTGATATTTATATATGACAATAATCGAAACAAATATTAATCACTTTACTATAAAATAATGAAAAATTATCAGATTATGTTAAGAAGCATATATAAATTGATAAGCATAGATTAGATATTCGCCACGCGATTAGGTATTTTGCGAAATTTATCGGCTTCGTGTAAATTCCATAATGAAATTATCGTTCCGATACGATTGGATATCGAAATATGCCCGGTCAAGCCCACATGCAACATTAATTACTCGATCTGCAAGATCATAAATAAATTGATGAATTAACAATTTGGCCTTGTGATTAACGGCTCGCGGTTATAAAATTAATAGGCCATATTATCAGCGATTTTCACAGTCTATCAATTATTCTTGACATTACTGAATAATGAAATAATCATTGTCATAATAACGCACTAAATTAATAAATTAATTCCTTTGCTTGCAATTTAACATAAAATGCAATATTTTTATTATAAATGCCCGAATTGTAAACAAATTTCCATTAAATGCGTAAATTCCCAGCATTCTTTAAACGTATTTAAATATACAAGTAGAATATTTTAATTTATTGCACTCTTGCACTTGAGTAATTAATTATTTTAATTTTGTGTATTAAATGAGAAATTGTTTTTCTACATTTAATACGGATTTTATTAAAAGAACAATTAAAGGTATAAATTATCATTATGAAATGATAATGAAATTTATTATATGTAACAATATGTAGCACGAATTATATAAGTTACATGATATCAAAATATGTTTGTTATTATTACGTATATTATAAATTTAATATATAATTAACATATACAAATTGTATATTATATATATATATATTAAAATATTCTTTTTAAGCAAGTTGCCATTATTCTTTCTATAATGTATTTTTATTTCATTTTTCTATAATTAATATCGAAGCTGTCATTACCTGTCGTAAGCTTTAAATTTTCAATATCAAATCTCTTTGCAGCATTAATTTTCAAATTGCACATCTGCTAAAGCAAAATCTGCTTAAAATTAAATACTTGAAATTAGATAAGGATTAAAATTTTGCAATTTGTGCACCTAAAACATAATTCAGTTATTTATTTTGGATTACTCAGAATATGGAAAATGTATCAGCGTTTCGTTTAAATTTTATTTAAATGATTAATAGGACGACAAAGTTCTTTAGAAGGTGCTGGAACGCTTCGATAAATAATGCATGGAGCGACATGATACAGAATAAAATATAAAAATTAGCTCTTTTCAGTTACAGCCGAAAATACGACAAATAAAAATTTTGTGTTCCGATGTTATGTACATCAAGTCGCTAAATTATTCAACTGCACGTGTCACCACACGCTTAAAAGTCTCAAAGTAAAACGGACTATTATTACACTTGAGAAAAATCTACTTCGGATGGATGAGAAAACTCGAGTCAAGTAGAACAATCGAATGGATTGCATTGTCGCCGAGTGTATTAACGCCAGGGGGATCGTTAATATGAAACGCGGGAGCACGTGAAAACACACCGCGAAAAATCCGCGAGCGGCGGGGCGACGTCCGCCGTGACGTCGCGACGCTGTCGGCGACGAAACGTCACGGACAATGCTCGTTTATTACGAAGTTCGGCGACGGAGAAACGGCCGATTATTATTCGCCTCGCGTTGTCATATTCCATTAGCGTCGCTGCCTGTTACAGACTCCGCTCAGCTTCGCTCGCGCTCGCGCTCGCGCTCGCTCTCGCTCGCGCTCTTGCATTCGCTGTCGCTCGCTCAACCGCCGAGCGGTTAGTTCGAGGAACAATTCACAACGCGATATAGGAATCACCCTTCAACCGCGTGCTGGAGATGACATCGATACTCGACTTCCCCCCCCCCTCTCTCTCTTCCTTCTCTCTCTCTCTCTCTCTCTCTCTCTTACACTCTTCCTCCTGTTCTCTTCTATGTATCTCTCTTTCTCGTTTTGTGTGCTCTCTCTTTCTCTCACTCCTCTTCTCCTTCTCTCGCGCGTTACTGCATCCGCGTACACCCGCGTATCGACTAAACTTCGCGGCAACGCCGACGCCCGCAACGATTAGCTGCGTCGCGGTGGCGAATGTCGGGAGTTTCGTTCCGCCGCGCTGCATTTTAACCCCTTGACGCTCGGATTTTCTCTTCCGCCGCGCGTAGAAGTAGATTACCAATAAATCAATCCGCGCGAGCGTTTCGATCCGCGGGAAATCAAATCGAGAAAAACAATTGGCAAAAGCGATTGCCGCATTTTGCCGATCGCCCGCAGTGTTCTGTGCGACAAACGATTGCACAGCTTCATTGCATTATAAACGGAGAGGGCGAATTCACACTTCGCACTTGAATTTTCCTTTGGTCTCTCTCCCACGTTCACATGTGAACGAATTGTTGGATCAATTCAATATTTAGAATATTACTTATATAAAAAATTATGCAGATACAAGCTTCGAAAATATTGTATGATATTGTATGAATTACTATATTTTTACAAAACTATAGAAAAGTATTATAGTTTTATGGTCATTTTTTCCAATTACTGTTAATTTTCTTTATCTAAGCAGAATCAATAAAATAATATGATTTTAAAGACAACATATGGGAAATGCAGCTATATGAAACAAATTTCGGTGTTTGCGTAAAATCAAAGATCGATTTTGCTTTAGCTCTTCAAGAAGTCTTATCCAGCGTCTTCAGTGGCGTCTTCGTGAAATATTCTCACCTCCTCTTTCTCTAATAAATCAGACCTCCTCCTCCTTCTCTTCCTCTTCAAAGTGCAACAAACATCTACCAAATCATCAATTTTCGGACGGCCTCATGAAATGCTCGCGGGCCAACGTGTAAACAATTTGCGCAAGTAGCCGCGATAATGGAGGAGCAGAAGGATGAGAGGGATGAGGATAAGGTACAGGGCGGTGGTGCTGAGAGAGGGGATGTTTGGTTAGCTCACACAAAGGACGAAGCGCACCGCTGCGCACACAACGGAATCAGCCCGCTACTCTAACAAGGAACATTCACAAACCACCCCTCTGTAAGGGGTTGGAATGGCGAAGGGAGAGTGGTAGGGGAGCTGCTACAGGACCTCAACGGTTTGCGGAACGTCCGGAAGTTAGCGACACGGATACGAGCAAACGTCTTGCAGGAGCAGCGGGCGTAATAGAAAATGTTTTCGAGATGAAGTGATTTTTATAACGGAAAAGAGTATGTTTCTGAATTTATGATTATGTTTTCTTTTTCTAAACTTTATTCAAAAGAACGTTATTCAAAGAATAAGTTTTGATTTCAAAACAGAAAGTAAAGAAATTCAACTATATGCGCGTCTCTATTTAAATTGTTTTAACATTTTGGCTTCTAATTTCTAATGCGAGAAGAAATTGACGATTAAATTTGTGTAATCTTCTTTTTTTCTTCTCTTCGATATTGATTTTTTAATTAATTTATAATTACGAATAATTGCCGCCTATTTTCCTGTTTAATGTTTACTCTTTTCCACTTCTTCTATCTATCTTTATCTATCTCTTTCCACTGCAAAATAAAAAACAATTCCATCGAACACTGAAGAACTGTTCCTTTTCTTTTATATTAGTTTTCCTTTGCCCTGTCACTTTTTCCGCTTTCTCTGCCTTCTTTCTTCTTTTTACTTTTTTTTCCTTTGCCTCCCCTCTCTTGACACTTCCTTATCGGTTCAGGCGTTCCATCTTCTTGCCTCCGGCAGGTATCACTATCTCCGTTCCATGACATGCTATTTCTTCCTCTCTTCTGATATCTTTAAACATCCTTGATTTCAGAAATGCACAACATATCGCCCATATTCTTCGTGCGGTTAACGTTTATTACGCGATCGTTTGACTAAGTCAGCCATGAGTTATTCCAATTCTTTGCCTCTCTCATGCCGGGCGAATTGTACATGTGCGTGATCCGCGATTCTTAATGAGCTCTGCACCGTTCGCGACTTACGATCTGCGTATCCATCACGCCGCCGACATCCGAGGAGAGAGCTATTGTGCGTACGCGCGATTGTAAGTCGTCGTCGGCGCGGAACAGCGCGCGCGAATCAATATCGTTACACACCTGTTGCGCGACTTTTGAATCACTCTGTACGATGAATACGGCGACCGTCTGAGTTACCACCGTGGCGAAAACAAGAAGAATGCGAAATTCTTGTCGCTTGATCGCCCGGCGCGCGGCGTCGCGGCGCATTCATTATCAATCTCGCTAGCGGACCGGCTCAAAGGCAGCGAAATTAATAACTGTTTGCGGAAACGCTGAGCGGAAACTTGGCGCTTCGCTCCCTCCTCCCCCTCATCGCCGTCTTCGTTTTATTAATCCGCGTAAGCCCCGGGTAGACTGCGGAGCGGCGCAGCGCAGCGATGAGCGCGCATTTTGCGCTTGCATCATGGCTCGAGCCGTGCGTGTCCATGAGTCGATATCCGCGGTCCATTTATTGTTATGCGATTCATTTATTTTGCAAGTGAAACACCGATATGTAAGTGGTAAATTTTCGACCAAATATTGGTGAAAACGGAAACGGCAAAATTTTATTTATCCGTAGCTCCGAAAAATCAATATTTGCTTTTATTCGTCAGACAGGAATTTGGAATTCTTGTTTATTAAAGCTAAATAATTGTCTTAAAGATTAATACAAAATAAATGTATCTTTGTATAATTTTTCAAAAATTACTAAAAGAGAGATTAAATAATTACAAAATGTTTAAAGGGAGAAAATTATTATATTTATTATATTAATTTATTTTATTTCGTAATTCTGCAAGCATCTTATTGTCTTATATATTAATTAGTAACGCGCGTGCGTAAATGCATATAATATAATTAATTAATTGTTTTCAACATCTTTCTTTTTACGCATTTTTTAATTATTTTCTGCTAACATGAAAAATCCTTGTGTTTTCAGATGTGAATATGGTAGCCGAGCCAAAACCTCACCAAACTGGACGCAAGCGACAGAATGTCTCCAAAACTGGCAACGATTGGTAATTTACAAATTTTTACATTCTATACTTTGTAAGGTTTCTTTCGCAAAATTATAAATCAACATATCTCTTCATTTACTGCATATCCATTATATATTAAAAGCATATCTAATAACATATCTCTATTCGCGTATATTGCATGAAGATTGCGTTTCTGCGGGAAATTGAACCTTTCTAAGGGATGATGTGCCATAAATTCATTATATGTATACATGTTGTCGTATGTAACGCCTTGCACTATGAAGCTCTCTCACGTATTTGTACGAATTTGCCAACAATCTACTCAAAGTAGATCCCAGTGTTCTTTGGCACGTAGTTGTACCATCTTATCTTATCTGCTTGATTTTTCGCGGCGCGTATAAATCTTCCAGTGAGAGGAGTTTCATTCAAAGGACCGCTTTATCCTGGCCTTAAGGTGCCGACGAACCCTAAACTCGATGTATAAACCCGAAAGCGCCGAGAACGTATTTTACGCGCGGAACGTGACCGTGAATTCACGAGCGATCGCATGTTTGCGGAAGTTAACTTGCGCGAAATACACGCGCGGAATAAAAAAACCGTAATTGCATTGAATTGAGCACGTAGAAGTTCTTCGTGTCTTCATGGGCAAATTTAAGAACCACGTTGCGATCTCATATAGTAATAGCATAGCAGTAAACATAACGTGAACTGTTGAGGAATGTTGATGGCTATGTGGTTCTTCATGGACTTAATACACATGAAAATATAAAGTATCCGAGACATTCAATTATTTAAAGAATATGTATTTTAACATATTAAAAAAATTATTATTGAATATAAATTTTTTAATATACTTGTACGTATATTACAAATTAAGAAAGATTTATTCATTACATATAATATCGAAGATTTAAAAATAATCGATCATATATATTAAGATAATAATAAAATTGTCAAGTATATTTTATATTACGCTTTAATTAATAATCTAATTGAGACTGTGTCTTCGGTAATCTGGCATACTGCTTGACAAGAGAAGTATTTCGCCACGAGGAAAAAAAAAACGACATTCTGTAGAAGCTGATGCATTATCCACGACAGATAGCGTCGTGGCAAACGTCGATACCTTTTCACGAACTAAGTCGTGTCGCTTCCTTTTTCTCCTTTTGCCAGCTTTCCGCCTTCTCCTCTTTTCTCTTTTTACCTATCTTTCTTTCCGGACAAGAGAGAAAGAGAAATCGACTATTTTTCGAGTGCGTCGATTTAATTGATGCCAATTTTCAGTCGCCCACAAAACTGCAATATTAATGTCCAAGTTCTAAGAAATCGCAATAACAAAAAGATTTCGATATAAACAATACAAATGATATAAACAACAAATACAAATGTAAAAATTATGAAGAATAATTGAATGCAAATTTCGTGTCATTTTTTTGTTAAATAAGAATTTAAGATTTTAAGAGACAAGTTATCTCGAAAAGAAAGTGTTCAACTTGCGCTAAGAAAAGTGTTTGTTTTCCATAATTCTTCCAATAATGAACTGTCTGAAAAGAGATAGTTTGTAACAGGTACAGGTACATTTAACCGATATTAAGATTAACTTATGAACTAAAATATTCAATCATATCGAAATTAATTTTCGAACAAACTTCAGGTATAACAAATTAAACATGAAACAGTTTCACAGATTAGTTAAACTTTGTTTTGTACGGTAAACGTTACGAAAGCATATATTTACGTAGAACAAAGGTGAAGCTCGAACATCAAAATGATTTTATATACTGAAATTAAAATTAATCGATTATTACGATACTAATCGAAATCATTTTTGGATACATATTTCTTATATGTATTAAAAAAGAAATTAAAAAAAAATATTATTTTATAAGTTATTAAAAAAATAATGTACAAGTTATTTTCAGAATTCTTTGAGATAAATAAAAGAACATTGCGCGAATATTACAATTTGAAGGCATACTTGTAAGAGGGATCGAGTTGTCGTACAAAGCTTTAGAAATTGGGTGGAATGCTGCCATGAATTAACCATGTCACGAGTTATTATATATATGTAGTGAAATGGTTTAACATCAAGATAGCTTCTTTTGAAGCATTATATCCTATCAGGAGAGGTTAATAACCTTTGATAAACTACAAAATGTGGGTCAAAACCAGTGATATATTATAAATATACATTTTAGGAATACACGAAGTTCTTATTGGACATAGATCTGGAAAAAACTTTATGAAAATTTTCATGAAATGACATGAATTTTATGAAATGAGAGATACATCTATATCGAATATATATTGTATTTAAATATATGTCTGAAGATGAACTCTCATTTGCGATCAAATCAAATTTTAGAACACAAATCCTCGTGAAATGCGATAAAAAAAACACGACATCTCGAGAATGCCGCGTAATATCTGCGCTGTGGATTTTCCGAATCCTTCGCCTGTCGTCCTTTTAATGCAGCCGTCAATCTTCTACGTCCTCATCCTGGCCAGAATTCCGGTCTGTGCGCGAGGTCTTCTCACCGAATATTATTGTGCGTCAAAAGCCACTTTCAACGCAAAAAAAGAAGAGAAGATTTCGGAAGTATTGCGTAATACCAAAATTTACTCGTATTATGTTTTATTTATTATTTTTATCATACACATTTTTTGATCCATATATCATATAACAATCAGTTTAAATTTTATTCATTAAAACGCAGTATGCTAGATTGCAAATATAATTACTTCGCTTTTGTAGATGAAAATTCATATATTTTGCGTTACACATTAATCATGTTAAAGAAATTTTTTTTTAATTGTGATGTTCAATTAAGATACGATGCATCGAGGACACATTTTTTTTTTTATAAACAAAGCAGCATATGGAACATTTATACAAGTCGCCATCAAGCTTTGTATATTTTCTCATTTATGAATACAACCGACTCGTACACTGGTCTTTTCTAGTAAAAATTTGATTACACATTTTGTTTCGCAAATTTTTCATTATCAACATGACATGTTCTAACTTTAAATTTATACTATTGTTCTCGACAATTTACAGTTGTTCCAGTTCTATGAGATTTCTTTTATACAGTCTTTTATATACACAGTATATTTATAATCAACTTTTATAATATTGCTAAGATAAAATAGCGAAGTCCAAATAAATAATTTTATACGGAAATGAGCTGAGCACAAAGAAAGAAAAAATCAATTATACATACATATGCGAATGTGACAAGCTGAAACTCTATATTAAAAGAGTGATTGAAATAACATTCAAAATTGCATGCCATTGCATGTCAATTCATTTTTAACAAACAGATCATTTAGTTCTACATAAAAACCAATCAACGTTCATTTATGTCCATTTATTAGAATATTATTTCGACTTTTCGAGTATTTTTAGCCGTATTGACAAGTGTATTTTAAACTTTTATATATCCACATCTACACATCTATTTGTTATTTGTCATTTTATATTGCATTAAAGTATCTTATAGAAAATTTGAACAACGTTTATTTCGATATTTGTAAATAATATATTTACAATATTTTTGAAAGAAACGAACTGTAGACGTCGTATGTATCCTTCATATTTTGAGAGAATACATAACCGTCCGTGTGTTCACGATGGCTCGATTGTCCAACTTAATTCATACGAAAGTATTACTCGGTGAGTTAATTCATTTTCTGTGTAAGATTCACTCCCCGCATAATATTTGATGAATATCACTTGCCGTGTCTGTTGATAACCGTCTTACCGTACATTTATTTCTCCATTCGTCAAGTCGATTTAATTATGAATTCTCTCGCTTCCGTTTATTTAAACGAAGACGCGTGCACGAATAAACGCGCGTGTATAGCGGCAATGTCGATAATCCGCCGGGTCGGCAAAGCCGCGAAAAATATTCCGCCGGCGTTTCCGGGATTCTCGCGGGGTATTCGGGACAATTTCAGGATATCCGCGGGATTCCCGGCTATCCCTGCGCCTTCCCGGGGCTCTCGGCGTACGTGTTACGGAAGCAAACAGGTCGCTTAACAAGCCGGAAGAACAATAAAAATGCGTCACCTCATTAACCGCTCCCAATTAGTCGCAAGGTAGCGTCGCGCGGCGCTTAATGCAACATCTACTGGGTGTCTCACGGTTCAGGTGGCATTACAAACATAGATTGTAATCCTTCCTTTGCTTCAGTTTTCCTCTTTTATTATAATTATCATAAAACTAATACCTTAATCTTTTCTCGCCGCAGCGCCCATAACTTTTCAGAATCTTCTTTTAAATAATTAACACGAGAAGGATACATTTACTTATTAAGAATTAGTCTCTCTTTTTTTTTTTAATTTTAGCCATATACGAAAGTACAGTGTACGTACGCTTATAAAATTAGAATAGAACACGCTAACACTATATCATTTATCTTTTTTTTTTTGCAGAAAAAATAATATAATATATAATAATATATAATATATAATAATATAATTTTAAAATAATTTTACGATGGAGTATATTTGAAGAGTAAACCGAGAGAATCAAATGTAAAATAGGAATTTATTATTTTGTAAAATGTATGAATCGAATTCTGCAATTTGAATTGCGTTGAGAGCCTTGAGCGAAATCTTTGGAACGGGCAGGAAAGCCAAATCCGACCTCGTCGAGACGGAAATCGCAGCGAAACGCGAATATCGCAGTTACGAGAATTACGCGTGAATTGTTCGGCTCGGTTTCGAGTGCGCTTCAGCACGCCATTCAAGCAGGATCGCCCGTTCATTGTCCGTCCGTTAATCCTCTTCCCGCACCCTTCCTCCCCCCATCGAGATCACGTGATTGCAGATTTTTAACGAATCATGCGGCAAGTACCACAAAGTTTTAACAACATGTTTTTTCATCCTCAAATTCAGTCACTTTTGCTTATTTTGATATGCACCTACCAGTCCCACGTGTTTTGTGTATTCATTCATTATACTATCTCTCAATTATAAATTTTCAGATATTTTTCGGATAAATTTCATCTCTATTGTTTAGCGAATATCTAAAA